TTTTTCAATTTCCCAGGTCAGTTCTTAAAGCTCTAGAATATCAAAGTTTGTTTTCTTTTCGATATTAATATTTAGCACATCACAAACTTGTCACTTTAGCATAGAAATTAATCTTCCGCACTTCATAATATTTCATTTCTTTATACAGATTGTTAATTATGTTACTGGGAGGAAATTTTCTTTCGGCTTCCTAATGAAAAAGTTAACATTTTTCCTGAAATTTTGCCGAAGTGTCATGCAAATAACCCTGATTTCAACTTCATATTACATGCAAAACCTAGTAAATACTATTTTTTAATAAATATACACGTAAATATTAAGTAATAATATCTATGGGTGTTACAACATTACATAATTTCTAGCATTTGTAACTGTTGCTATTTCCGAAAACGTAGAGAGTTCGACTAACTTAGACTAGCGCCATGTTTATTAGAACACTTCGCACTATAAGAGGGAAAACTTTAAGAAAAAAATTAAAGCCATTTTCAGACAGTCTTCTTTTTAAAATTGTCTGTATTTGATATAAAATTGTCGAAAAGTGTTCATATTTTCGAAAAATTGTGAATGACCTTATTTAAAGATCGAACTTCGAAAGTCAGATTTCATTTAAGTGTGTGATTTTCATAAGTTCAGAGAATTCAACGAAAGTCTGATCACTTTAATAAGCATACATTGCTCTGTTCTAGGAAAAACTTTAAACAACTAATTTGAAGGCATTTTCAGAAGGCAATGCTTAAAAAGTCCTTGGGGCGTCTTGTAAAGTACTCCCAAATATCAAAATATCCGTTTGAAGTACAAGAGGCCACGACAACAGCCAGATCGATTGGCGAAAATCGATTTTGATGAAAATCCTTTCTACGCTTCACAGACAGACGGTTTGCGGTAAACTAATTATTTTGTTGTGGTAAGGACCCACAAAACATGGTTTCTTACTGCACAAAGTATTTAGAGGAAGTTATATACTACAAGAATTGTCTATTTATACGGTATCAGGGACCCTTCGATGTAAGTTGTCCAATCGAAAAATCACCTCTATTCCGGAGCATAACGTAACTTTCTCTATATGTTTGCGAGTAATATAAGATTTCGAGGCAATAACATGCTATGCCTCTATACGAAGTTTTAAGATAAATGAAAGTAAAAGTTTAAAAATTTCCATAAATAAGAAATATAAAGCCATGCCACGCATATATTTATTTTGTATAATCTATCATCATTCACAAAATGAAATGCATTATGTCCTATCACACGCAAACATCTATTGGGCCAAAAACACTAATATCTCAATTTCATCAGAAATGTGACTCCAAGGTGCCAATAAATGCTCCAAGGTGCTCAAGTGTAGTAAGCAAGAATGTAAAAAGGCCAGATTTCTCTTTTGAACGATTTACACACCGTCTATTTTGACAATATTACAAGTACCTCCTTTAATCTATAGGAAGGTAATAATCAATAAAAAAAGGTACTAGTATTTTATTATTATTATTATTATTATTATTATTATTATTATTATTATTATTATTATTATTATGTCTTCATCAATCTTGACAATTCATTTAATTTTTTTCTCAGTGTCCTTCGCAAGTAGATGAGATAATTTTTCTTAAGTTTCTTAGAAAAGGATAACTTCATTGCCCAAACACTAAAAACTTCGCCTAGATGTTTCTCCGTGAGAGCAAAACTACGCAATGAAATCACGCTTTCCACCCGATTGACCTGTTCTCTCACGCGACGCCACGAAGCCCTTTAAAAACGAGCCAGCCAAGGCGCAGCTCTGCACAGCTCGCACGTCGCCTCGCCAGGATTCGAAAAATAGGTCAAATGGTTATGAAATGGTAAAAGTCCCGAAGAGTTGAACATTGATAGAGCATGATGTACAACAAACATAACAATAACCATATGTGAATTGACATATATATATATATATATATATATATATATATATATATATATATATAGTTTTAAGCTGTATATTTGCATCTGTTATTTTTTTATATCATTGTATAGGTTTTCTGACGTGAATAAGAAGACACTAAAACATTTTAGTATTTTGTTACGCCTATCCGCCCATCCATTCGTCCTCCGTCCGTCAGTCCATCCGTCAGTCCGTCCATCAGTCCATCCATCAGTCCGTCAGTCCGTCAGTCCGTCAGTCCGTCAATCCGTCAGTCCGTCAGTCCGTCAGTCCGTCCGTCCGTCCGTCCGTCCGTCAGTCCGTCCGTCAGTCCGTCAGTCAGTCCGTCAGTCAGTCCGTCAGTCAGTCCGTCAGTCAGTCCGTCAGTCAGTCCGTCAGTCCGTCAGTCCGTCAGTCCGTCAGTTCGTCAGTCCGTTAGTCCGTCAGTCCGTCAGTCCGTTCGTCAGCCGTCCGTCAGTCCATCTGTTCGGTCTCTGTCTCTCTGGCCCCCGGGCTATCCGTCAGTCCATCTGTCAGTGAACAACACTAGCGCCTAAACCGTTCAGAAACTCTTTACCAAAAATGATATTCCCCGATCAATATGATCGATGTTACATCTCCTCGAATTTAAAACAGATCTCTCGATTTTCGGAGTACTCTACATCTAACTCCAACTTTTACTGAGTTTTCTCAAAAATTGCTCAAAATTGTTTCTTACTTTTTTATGAGTTCATAGCGAGTTTTAGCTCGTTAGTTGCAAGTGAGTTCATAAAAATTATACATGAGTAGTAAAATTTTGGAATTTTCAAACTTGCAAAAATTTTAATTTTTGTCGGCTTCTTCCTATTATACTGCTACATTATTGAAGGAAGAGATTTAAAGAGACTTTTTAATTGAAATCTGTTCTTCAAAATTAGATCTTTAAATAAGCTCATGAACATTTTTGTTTTCAAAACGAATCGTTTACGCCTAATTTTGATAGTGAACTTGACAATTTCCCCAAACTAAGTAAAGGTTTCCCATAACTAGTCAAAAACGGCTCCATTTTTAACTAGTTCGTTCGAATAGATAAAGTATGCTAAATAATGTGGAAAAGATCGGATTTTCGTTAAAAGCTGTGATTCCAAAAATTGCAACATTTCAATTTTTTCAACTTGACCTACATCTTAAATATTGAAGTAAAAAACTTATTTTTTAATCTAGTATATTCCTCTATAAAGATCTCAATATTAGATCTTTTAATTATTACAAGTACTCTTTCTTTAAAATATAAATACTTTAATCATAAATATGAATTACATGAAGTTTTCAAGTGATGGCTAAAGAATTAGTCAGATAAATGTCATAAAATTGCTTAAAGAAGTTTGCCAGCTGTATGAGAAAGTGTGTGCTGTTCAAGCATAATTAGTTTCTTCCAAAACTGGGTAAAGGATAGTAGTCTCACCCAAAGTGCCAGAGCTTAGCCTATCCTCAAAAAACTCACTGCCCTGAGGAAGCCTGCGACATGTCAGGCGAAACGTCGGCCTCTCAGCCAACGACGCGGCGTCATCCGCATAGCCAAGAATTTATGGAATCTTACGTGTGCATTGACCTATCCTCGTCTTTGCCAAAGCGAATATAACCAATGAGATCACAATTTCCAACCGATTTACTCATTCTTTCACGCGGCATCATGCAGCGCGCACAACGGCCGCCAAGGAAAGTCTGAAGCCCGCGCACCTCGAGCGTCGCCAGGGCTTCTCGCCGGGAGGCGCCACCGGCCGGCCTGCTTATTGCTTCCTTCCGGCGCCGAGGGCGGCGCTGGCGGCGCGCCCGCCTCATTTGGACACGTGTCAAAGACGGCGGCGGCGGCGGCTCCCTCCACCCCCATCCCCTCCGCCTCCACGCACCCACCCCCGAGCGCCGGAGGGGGAAACAAATCTCCAGCACTCGCGGAGCGCGTGATGAGAAATCGAGTTTTTTTCTCTTCTCGCCACGCATAACGTAAATGAGTGTAGTTTTCGAAATAAATTTAAAGTAGCGGATATAAACGGCGGAGTTTCTTGCCGCTAGCGCGACTGCCAGTATTAATAGGCGTCGGAATGTGCCAGTGAGTGCAGGGGAAGAAGAAGTTGAGGGGGGACGAAGGGAGGCGGGCAGGGTGTGTGGCGGCGAGGCGTTCTGGAGAGTTTCTGCAAAAAAAAAAGTTTCTAGTGGGTCGCCAGTTGTCGGAGTCGTTGAACACGGCGATGGAATGCGAAGTTTCTGAAGGGAAATAGTAGTTATAATGAGGTACACAGCGCGAAAGTGACTGCAACAAATGATGTAGTATACTCTGTGGCATTCCGAAAAGGAAATTGTATGCCGGATTTGCTGTCTCATGGATTTTTCCTGGGGGGATTTGGTTTGTCATCATCACTGAACCATCCGCTTGTGACGTCGCCTTGTGTCGTGTAATTTTGATTAAAGCCTGCCACAAAGGATGAACCGTTTTACTTCTGAATGCATCTGTAAAATTAAATTTTATTAATTATATACAACTAATGCCGTTGTTAATGATTTCTTATTAATTTTTTGTGAGAATACAAAATACGTAAATTAAATCTATATGTTTGGTTTGATAGTTTCAAAATAATATCAGTTTTTGAGAAAAATGTTTTTATTATTGTTTATAGTTGCCTTATAGATTTTTAACAAAATAGAAATAACTGTTTTTGCAATAACGATTCTTTAACATGCATTGTATTATTAGCGAATACGCATGTGTACTCGTGTGTATAATACCTGCAATAAGACTTACATTCGCACTCAGTCATTCACACTTATGAATGATACTTTCTCAATATTATTACTATGACAGTTTTCTTTTTTGTAACATTAACCAACAATGTTATATATTTCTATCGTACAATTTTGGGCTACTAAAGCACTTCACAGTTGTTGTCAATATTCATTTAAATGTAAAGAATAGCACTTTCTCTTCGGGAACGATTCAATTCGCAATTTGGATTATGTTTAAAGTTTTATTAAATACCTAGAATCACAAAGAATATCATTTACTTCAAAAATAGTTGTAAGTTTTAAATTAGACTTTAGAAACGTCTGAATTTAAGCTTTGAAGATATTTTCACACTTCATTTTCCTCCTTAGATTGTTCAAAATGTGTGTAGGTATTTTGTTCTGAACTTATTTTAAGTGCAGCATCTAATTGAAGCATCATTTCACCAAGAGTTTTCTCTAATCGACCAAATCCAGATTGGAGATTAGCATGTGAATTATTAATGTTTTCAGACAATGCGGAGTTATATACACGCATTTGCTTCTGCCATACATGGAGTTGTTCAGGGATAGATTCCTTCATATATTTATCACCAGTCTGTGAATACTGAGATGTGTTATTCAATTCTTGAATGAGATCTTTCAACAAAAAGTTTTGTTCTGTAATAAAAGATCGTAAATCATTCTGGAGAGAGCATAACCTATCTTTGATACTTTTTTCCAAATCAGAAAGTTCATTTTCTAACATATCAGCTGTAACAATATCTGGAGAAGAATTTTCGGGTTGATTATCTGCAACTATTTTCATGATTTTGTCAGATAACTCGATTGGCAAACGGTATTCTCTTCCGCTTGGGAGTTTTGCTATTAGTATCTTTGTCAAATGATTCCACGTTGCTTTACACGAGTGAATGCGGAATTCTGGAGAAAAAAGTACCGCAGATTTGAATAAATACACAATCCAATGAGGTACAAATGGCAATCTCACCAAACGGTTATGTATAGAAATAAGTAATCTTTCACTCTCCATAACAAATAAAATCTTATCGTGTTGGACTCTACGCATCAACTTCGTATCTATCTTTTCGATTTTCGAAGATGCAATGCTCATCATAGTGTTCGCAGTTACAAGAGCTATTAGAACAACTAAAGTAACAAATACTTTAATCGAGAATATTCGGTTTTCGGGTTCCATTAGAAAGGTGTTTAGAATAACAGTAGGGATTTCACAGATGTATATTAATGGGGTATTGTTCAAGAAATGTATAGTATGAACAACAGTATTTATAATGTAGTAACTAACAGTAATTCCAAACAAAATGGCACAGTGTGGGGCAAAGAACAACCATGATTTATTTGCCACGAACGTGAAGAGATTAATGGAATATGAAAATACTGGAAGACGAAAAAGTTGTTCTATCAGTATTAAAGTAGATAACACCGCAGGAACATGACCAAAAAAGTAGGATGGTAATCCAAGATGATTTGTCATAATCCTTAAGGTTATGAATAAAAGATTACAATACCACAGGCACGATACTATAATAAACATTGGCAAGCATCCTTTAAAGCATTGGCAGATTTTGCAGATTGTTATTAGTAATGATAGTGCGAAAATGACCGCTCCCAGAACTGTAAACCAAACAGGATCGTAAGTGAAATTTTCTACACAGACAGGTCGGAATACCTCTTCGAAAAATGATATGCTTTCTTTTTCTGAAGTACAAAATGTCATGGGCATAAATGTTAATTTATTGTCCCTCTCTGTCGAGAAACATGCAGCACACACCGAGAAAAGGATTGTTAAAAAAGTATATACCATGTGTAATTGGGCGTTCAAGTAGGCTAGTGCGCCCATGCTGCACAATTTCATTTCGAGAAACACATTAATGATGGGATGATCCAACTCCCTGCTTAAATGCTTCGGAGAAGTCAAACGGTACAAGGCTGACATCTCGCTTTCTAATGGAAGAAGATTGGCATGAGACGACTTCGTATCGTAGTCTTCTGAACACTCGAGCGCCGGTACCAGAGGACTGAAATCCAATTCGATCTCGAAGTCCTCTCCCTAAAAGAAAGAATTTATGAGAGCAGTGTGATATAAATATATCAAAAGTTGGAAATAGCCCTGTATAGATAGATTAATAACATATGTAAGACCTAATTAATAGGCCTAAATACCTCTTTCCAATTACCCCGACATTTTCATCTCGTATTTCAAATTTACAAGATAATCAAATCAGTTTAATATATATCTTTTAGCGAAAAGATACCTAGAGGATTTGAATTTTGGAAATTGTAAATACTTTCAAACACATTTTAATTCACAACTTTCTATAGTTTGTAAAATCATAGAAAAAGTACTTTTACGTATGTTCTTTTGCATTTGATTTTTATTTTATTTACACATTTCTGCATATACATATATATATATATATATATATATATATATATATATATAGTCTCTGATTATTACAATAATCTGTAAATCGCTAACTTGATATTAACAGCCACGAGGATTTTACTTCGTTACTGATGGTACATCTGAGTCAATTTAAAACATCGTATATGTGGCTTAACTGGCGACGTTAAGGTTGGTACTAATTTGAACAAAATGATATTTCAAACTCAAGACCAAACTTGTCCAGAAAATAATAACAAAATTCACAAAAATCAAGAAATCAATTTAAAAATATAAGAATGTAGTAAGTAGCTACTTTTTAGACAATATATTTTTGGTTATCCCACTGAGGCATTAGCCTGGACGAGAACCGATTATGTGGTGACTGGCAAATGAACATGTTTTAACTTTCTCATTTCTTGAGACATATAACTATACAAAAACAAAAATTTAATTAAATTATATTAGTATTAAATTATATTAGTTGTGTTTGCATAAAAATGATAGAACGTTTTTATTTATATTGCAATTATCCAGTACCTTGCAGCCTCCTTTATTTTTGGTTTCGCAATATCGGTATTTTTTAAATCTTCGGGTATGAAATTAAAGATTTTTTTCGATTTAAAAAACAATGAAAAAAGAAAAACCGGCTAGACTATCAGGAACGCAGCCACAATGAAATAACTGAAACGATTTATGCCTGCTGCAGAAGGACACTAGGATACAGACATGGCAAAACCCAACTTTCATTTATTCAGGTAAGCTTACTTGCTGACTGTGAGCTACGGCTAGTGTGGGTGTAACCGTCTCAAACGCGGCCGCTCTATTCGGCAAAAGTTCTGCCGAGCTCCGCCTCTGAGAGCGCTGCGAGCGAAGCAAAATTTAAAACCGAATGCATCATGCGTGACAAGACAATTGCGCAATGTATTCACGGAACATGCGTGAGCAAGTGATGGCTTTTCCCCACTACCAAAAACACCAAAGTAAGGCGGACGTAGAGGCTGATTCAGAGTGCTTTCAAAGTGTTTCATGCGGGTAAATTCAGTTTTGACCCTTCCCCTCATTAATTCATTCAAGAATAATGGCACATAGAATGTGAATTTCTTTCTGAAAGTCTGTTCTCTTATTCTTATAACAATGTACTTTTTGATTATGATGCTATCAACACGTGGCGAGTTTTTTACTAAATGTAACCCCATCCCTATCCGCTATGGCTGCGCGCTTTAAACAAACATGGAGTTTTACTGTTCGGATACATGTAACAGGACACCATGATTTTATCAAATGTCCCTCAAATGAAATAAATTTTGTTTTATTTCATGTTTTATTATCAAAAGAAAATTATTTTGTTAATTGTAATAAATTAAATTGTAACGTTAACTAGATGTTAGGGAAGAAGTAAATCTCATAAACCGACATATAGTTCGCTAGCCTAATTTTGGCAATAAATAAAAGTATGTATTCATTAAAAACAATTTTAAAAATGAAATGAATAACATTTTAATATCAAAACACTAGCCTCACTTGCCTTTTTCTATTTCTATTACCACCCAAATAATTCTACAACCTTTTTTTGTCCACAAAAGCATTAGAAGTGATGGCTACCTTTGTCAATTAACATACCTACAGTAAAACTCTGCTAATCCGAATCCCACAAATTCGAAATTTCGGATAATCTGAACCAAATTCGGGATGGAGGAAAAAATAAACAAAAACCACCTGATTTTCATCAATTTAATTTGTGAATGAAAAACCATGAACGCAGTGTAAGTCAACCCAATTCTGAATACTGAACTTAAAATACCGATTGATAGCAGCTCTTCTAAACTACGTATCAACTACTACCGCATGTGATCGGTTACGTGCCTACTGTACTCCGTTGTTTGCAAGATTGCTACTTCCTCATGTCGCTATGCTACGTTGCCATTTTCTCATATCGCACGCTACAATGCATTGTGTTTGGTAATCCTGCAGAGATGTATTTGCACAGTACATTTTTTTCGGATAATCCGAACACACCACACATCCAGTTACACTGGCGGGAGAAGAGAGTTTGGTATTGACAGTTCGGCGACGTCTCTAAGTTTCCTTGCTCTGGGCATGCACTGGGCCAATCGGGTGTCAGTTACGTCAGATAAATTGTATATGTAGTGTCCAAAAGAAAGCAATTTCTAAAAATGGATTTATTCCAACCACAATCAGTACAGAGGTAGACAAATTCAACCCAGATCCAAACAATTTTCCAGAAGATGTACCGAAGAATGTCCAAGTAACAATTTCACTTCACAATGTAGGTAGGCGTTTGACTGCATTGTGAAGCGATAAGAGGATTGTGAACAAGTGCGACGACACAGCTACGGTTACGGACTTTCTCTCTCTCTTAGAACAGTGAACGGCACAACGGCTGCGATTTTGGACATCCCTCCGGGAAATTGTGACTTGGACATCCTTCGGTACATCTTCTTGAAAATTGTTTGGATGTGGGTTGAATTTGTCTACCTCTGTACTGATTGTGGTTGGAATAAATTCATTTTTAGACATTGCTTTCTTTTGGATACTACAGTATACATCGCCACGTGCACCGCCAAAGCCACGATTCAGTCACAAGCGTAGGCGCCGCGCTCACTCTCGGACCCGAATGAGCCCTGATAGATTGTAAACGGGGAGTAGGATTTCCTACGAAGGACGCAGTGTCCCGTCGATGTTGAAGTGCCGTGAAACGCTGTCGCGAAGGCGGTAGACATCGCGTACGTTTGGCAAGAACGCACTTTGTACACTGTAGCTGTTAATCCCGAAGTTCCATCTCCCGCAGTTTATACTGCGATTTTCTCAACTCTGCCTCTGGCAGGTTTCAGCTGCTGACAGTTTCATACAATCGGGAGCTTGAACGGCACCGTAATGACGTCACTAGAGTGACATTCAAGCTGCCGATTGGATGAAACCGTCAACAACTGATATTATACGCGTGCGTTTTCTTGAACCCCGTAATACCTACCACCACTCCTTTGCCAACATCATTTGGATGAAGCATAAATGATAGCAACGCGCGTTGTAGACAAAATCTGACAACCAGATGTGTTTGCTCGCGTGTAATAGAAACTATTTTGCATCGAAAAACAAACTACAAGTTTGATACAAAATTCCTTTTGTCAAAATAACCAAAACTCCCCACTCCTCTCGCAAATGGCGAAACGAGGGCTCAAGAAAACGTGCGCGGATAATACCTTCCAGGCGCAGAGTTGCATAAACCGCAGTATGGTTAGGAACACCGAGGTTCCACTGCACGTCCTTCGGTGGCGAGGAGCTGACCTGCGCGTCCCGCCTGCGCACGCAGAAGTCGAGCAGCGCCGCGGCCTCCGCCGCGCTCAGCGCCGCCTGGCCCGCCCCGTTGCGGCGCCCGGCGTCGGCGCCCGCGCGCAGCAGCAGCGCCACCGCCCGCGCGCGGCCGGCGCGCGCAGCGTGGTGCAGCGCCGTGTCGCCGCTCGCGTCCGCCGCGTCCACCTGCATCGAAACGTTAACAACACAACACAAGTTGCATCAGAATGTAAACAAAAGTCCAGAAGTTACATCAAACGTTTAACAAAGGAACAGAAGTTTCATCAAACCGTTAATAAAAGAACAGAAGTTACATCAAACAGTTGACAAAGGAACAGCAGTTGCATCAAACCATTAACAAAAGAACAGAAGATGCATCAAACCGTAAACGAAAGAACAGAAGTTGCATCAAACCGTAAACAAAAGAAAAGAAGTTGCATCAAACCGTTAACAAAAGAACAGAAGTTGCATCAAACCAT